GCAATGGCTCAAGGCATCCCCCCGGCCACAGCAATGGCTTCTTATAGGCGTTCAAGGCTGCCGTTTGACAGGCTTCAAACCCCTAAAATGCTTCGCCGGCCGTTTGCAATGCTTCCAATACTCCGCCGGCCGGTTGCACCAAGCCCTGTAGCCGTCAGCCCCTGCTGTTCCAGCGTCGCGGCCGCAGCAATGGCTTCTTATAGGCGTTCAAGGCTGCTGTTTGACAGGCTTCAAACCCCTAAAATGCCTCGCCGGCCGTTTGCAATGCTTCCAATACTCCGCCGGCCGGTTGCACCAAGCCCTGTAGCCGTCAGCCCCTGCTGTTCCAGCGTTGCAGCCTGCCGTTTGCCTGCACAGAGCCCAACACGCGCCACTCCCGCATGCACAACGCCCAACTTCGCAGGCAAACGGTACCCTAACAAGCCCAACAGGCGCCACGCCCGCAGGCAAAAGCCGATCCAACAAAAAAAGGCACATCAATTGGCTTCAAGGCAATCCCCGGCCCCCCCCGTCCCCTCCAATTTCTTCTTTATATGCCGTTCAAGCCTGCCGTTTGCCTGACACATAGCCAACATGCGCCACTCCCAGCATGCACAACGCCCACCTTCGCGATGCAACGTTTACCCCACCAGCCCCCAGGCGCCACGACCCCGCAGGCAAAAGCCACCACAGGCCACACAATGGCTCAAGGCATCCCCCTGCCGCCAATGGCTTCTATAGGCGTTCAAGGTCCGTTTGACAGTCCTTCAACCCCTAAGATGCCTCGCCGGCCGTTTGCAGTGCTTTCCAAATCCCCTCGCCGTCAGCCTTGCTGTTCCAGCGTTGCAAGCCTAGCCTGCCGTTTGCCTGCCAAGCCCAACAACTCGCCCTCCCGCATGCACAACGCCAACTTCGCAGGCAAATGGTACCCCAACAGCCCCAACAGGCGCCACGCGGCCCGCAGGCAAAAGCCACCACAAGGCCACAGCAATGGCTCAAGGCATCCCCCCGGCCACAGCAATGGCTTCTTATAGGCGTTCAAGGCTGCCGTTTGACAGGCTTCAAACCCCTAAAATGCTTCGCCGGCCGTTTGCAATGCTTCCAATACTCGGCCGGCCGGTTGCACCAAGCCCTGTAGCCGTCAGCCCCTGCTGTTCCAGCGTCGCGGCCGCAGCAATGGCTTCTTATTATAGGCGTTCAAGGCTGCCGTTTGACAGGCTTCAAACCCCTAAAATGCCTCGCCGGCCGTTTGCAATGCTTCCAATACTCCGCCGGCCGGTTGCACCAAGCCCTGTAGCCGTCAGCCCCTGCTGTTCCAGCGTTGCAGCCTGCCGTTTGCCTGCACAGAGCCCAAAACGCGCCACTCCCGCATGCACAACGCCCAACTTCGCAGGCAAACGGTACCCCAACAAGCCCAACAGGCGCCACGCCCGCAGGCAAAAGCCACCACAAGGCCACAGCAATGGCTCAAGGCATCCCCCCGGCCGCAGCAATGGCTTCTTATAGGCGTTCAAGGCTGCCGTTTGACAGGCTTCAAACCCCTAAAATGCCTCGCCGGCCGTTTGCAATGCTTCCAATCCTCGCCGTCAGCCCCTGCTGTTCCAGCGTTGCAGCCTGCCGTTTGCCTGCACAGAGCCCAACACGCGCCACTCCCGCACGCACAGGCAAACGGTACCCCAACAAGCGCAACAGGCGCCACGCCCGCAGGCAAAAGCCACCACAAGGCCACAGCAATGGCTCAAGGCATCCCCCCGGCCGCAGCAATGGCTTCTTATAGGCGTTCAAGGCTGCCGTTTGACAGGCTTCAAACCCTTAAAACCCTTAAAATGCCTCGCCGGCCGTTTGCCTGCATAGCGCTCTGTCGTTAGGGCGTCCATGCCTCGGGCACGCCCGCAGGCAGAAGGCCACAGCAATGGCTCAAGGCATCCCCCCGGCCGCAGCAATGGCTTCTTATAGGCGTTCAAGGCTGCCGTTTGACAGGCTCCAAACCCTTAAAACGCTTAAAATGCCTCGCCGGCCGTTTGCCTGCATAGCGCTCTGTTGTTCAAGCGTCCATGCCTCGGGCGCCTCGCGGCAGCTTCCTCGCGGCAGCTTCCACCAAGCTTTGTGGCCGTCAGCCGTTGCTGTTCCAGCGTTGCAACCTGCTGTTTGCCTGCACATAGCGTCTGTTGTTAGGGTGTTCAAGCCTGCCGTTTGCCAGCGTTCAAACCCTTCCTCCCTCCCGGCCGCTTCCACCACACCGTCTGGCGGTAAGCCTTTGCTGTTCCAGCGTTGCAGCCAGCCTTCCAATCGTCAAAACTTTCAAAATCCTTGGGAGGCTTCCACTAGACACTCTGGCCGCAGGCATTTGTTGGGGGACTGTTGCCGCCCGCGGTTTGCTTCCATCGCGTCTGTTGTTCCTGCGTACATTCCTTCCGTTTGCCAGCTTTCACACCTCTCAAATGCTTCGCGGCAAAGGTTTTGCCATTGCCATCTGTTCCTACGGCAAGCGCAGCTTCTTTCTATTTCACTTCCTTTTTTTCTTTGCCTCTTTGTCGGGAACGTGCCAATGTTTCATCTGGCATCGTTTTCCCGACGGCGTGACATGCGTCACCGCAATGCGCCCACATGACTGCGATGACCAAACAACCGTTGAGCACACCGGGCAACTGTGCGCATGACACCGTGTTTTCTTGCTGACCGCACCGTCCTTCACATAAAATCGGTTCCCGCAGACTGTTCGATGGTTGATTTGCCCTGTCCTGATATCGCTTCTCACACTTTCTCTGCAAAATGGACACCTGTAAACGATGCCTTTCTCTGTCACAACGCCATCCTGAACAGACAATTTGTTCCCACAGACTGTTCGATGGTCTATTTGCCCTGTTGCCTCGTTACTGGCCACATGCCCATTGCAGGTGGGACAAACGTAGTCATACTGTTTCGCACAGGGGCGTCCTTCCCTGACTCGGAAAAAGTTACCGCATGTGCGGCGGTGATTTACTTGGCCTGTTCGTACGGTACTGCTTACAGACTGATTGCAATGCGGGCACACGTACTGGAAAATCTTGCCCTTGGCCATGGCTTCTGCTGCCTTTCTTGGCCGCACCGCCCTCGGCCGTTCGTTGCTGTCGTCCTGTTGGCCATGTACCTCTGCAGGCCCCTCTGTGGTCATTTCTGTTCCGTTCTCTTGTCTGCGCTGTTTTGGCTTCGGCTCTGCTTCCTTCCTTTGGGGGCTCTCCTGTTCCCTCTTCCGTTTTCGTTCCGCGATGGCATCCCAGACATCGGCGATGGCGCGTGCCTTTTTTTCTTCCGCTGCCCTTCTCGCCACTTTCGCCTGCGTTGCCGCTACCCGCTGCACCGCTTTGCTGATGCTTCCCCGGGGAATGGGGCACTGCCAGCAGTTGCTACAGACTTGGTCACCATTACAAGAACGATGTTGCGCCAGCCAAGATTCAAAAGCGCACGCTGCTTGCTTTACCTTGCAGACGCTGCATCTCCACCAGCCCCATGCTTTACTCGAACAATCTAGACACACTCTACCGCCCCTGCGTGCTCGTTTCCAGGCCCCGCCAGAAAATTTCTTTTCGTCCTTGCGTGTATTGCAAACACTACACACTTGTGTCTGTTCGCACGTCTTACAAATACGATAAAATGTGGCTTGTGGCCTTGCATGTTCTGTCTTGAATGCATCTTCCTGTTTCCACGCCGTGCAGGCCATGCATTGCCACGGCTGCTGCGCTTCAACATGCCTACGAATGCATTCCTTGCATACTCTCGCCGCATCTGCTCGTTTCCATCGACCAGCCGTGAATGCAGACCCCGGCTTTGCTTCATTGCATTCTTTGCATTGTCTTTCGTCTCGGTATTTCGCTTGCAGCGCCCTCCAATCCATTTTTTCACCACCCCAGAACCGCAACAGCAATTCCCGCCCTACTTTTGCCCCTTTTTGAAATGGTGCTGCAGGGAACGGTCGGTACACAAACAAACCATACCTGTCTTGGACTCGCGTTAATGCAATGTAAGCTGTCAATGGGTCGCCTGCTTCCCCAATGTGCATGTCCATGACAACGCCTTCTTTGCACGTTTGCCCTTGGGCTGCGTGGGCGGTGGCGGCAAACCCTGGAGCCAATGGAAACTGCTTCCGCGTGACACGGAGTACTGGGCGCTTCCGCCCCTTGTCCAGATACCACGGTTTCTTTTGCGGCGCTACGGGAAAAACGTTGTCTTCATCAATCCCTTCAAGGCTACCATTTGTGAGCCTCCCAACCCCTTACACACTGTCTTCTTGGGGCTGCAAGCGTGCCAGCCTTCAAACCCCTAAACGCTCCCCAGCAGCCCTACACAGTGTTTTGCTGAAGCTTCTACTTAAAACTCCCGGTTGCCAGCCTTCAAACGCGTCAACCCTCCGCAGCGGCCTTACACGCTCTATTCTTGGGGCGTTCCGCCGTTTGCCGACCTCCGGACGCGTACTGTTCGCAGCCGCACTACACATTCTGTCGTTGGGGGTTCACGAGTGCCGTTTGCCAGCCTTCAGACCTTTATTCAAACCGTTAAACCCTCCGCAGCGGCTCTACACACTGTCTTGTTGAGGCTTCAAGACCACCGTTTCCTAGCCTTCGATCCCTAGCCACACTGCCTTGTTGGTGCTTCAAAGGGGGGTCGGCGGCACCCGGGCGATAGCCCATTCTATTATCCTCATTGATTGAAAACCCATATCAGAGCGGCATAAGCCACACCTTGATGCAGCCGCTGACGCAGACGCAACCGATGCAGCTGCCTGTTGGTTGGCTTAAAATTTGACACAACGTGGATGGACACAATGCCAGCCAGAATTTATTAGGGTTTCTTACCATCCATTTTTAGTATTTTCAAGTGACTAATTTAATATGGACCAAACGACTAAAAATGGAGGGTAAACATTAAAGATAGCAAAGAAATGTGGGTTCATTGGTAGTCCAATTTTGATACATGTCATTGGTCGCTTCAGAAACACCCCGGGGCCCCGCAGCCCCGCCTCTTTCCGCTCACCTTAGGTCTCGCTATCCCCCGCATCCCAAAGTGACTCTCTCGGACCTCCCTGGGAAATCAACCGAGTGACTTGGTGGGTCCAAGGGTCGCAAGCGTTCAATGTGCACCTTGAACAGGCAATCACTGTGCTGAATTGCTACCAGTCTACCAATAGTTGGAACCCCCAGCACGATCAAGACACTTCAGCCAGGAATCCAACTGATGGATCTATCCCTCCAAACCAAAAAAACACGACGCTATGCTGGGGAAACAGTGCCTTCAGGCTGGCTTTTTCCCCTGGCGGGAACGAATCGGAACGCACTCAGATCTGCTAGAAACAACGGAGTGGGGTGAAATCGTTCATTAATGCCAGCCAACACAAAACCGATCGCCTTGGAACTTTGTGATTACAGTAGATTGTTTGGATGAGTTGGAACAGCAGATGCTTGGAACCATGGTCAACAAGTCTTGGCCATCACTTCGCCTCTTCCCTTTCACATTTGGGTCCGACGCCCTTACCAGGCTGGATTTACAAACAATGTAGTATCATCAAACTGCTTCGTTCATATTACCCACAATCAATTAAATGATTCTGCAGGCAAAGTCCTCCAAGCAAAATGGGTGTTTGTGGGGCCCACATCATTTCACATCCACAGCGGTAAAACATTTATGCCATCATTTACCTATTGGTTCATAGCAGGTTCATCCTCTAGTGACTCTCCTTAATGTGGTATGCCGATTAGTGTGGGGACACACTATTGTGTAGAATTTTTCAAAAATAATTCTGGACCTTTCAAAAAGATTGGGGTGCCACTATTGTGTAAAGTTTTTTGGGGTTATTTTTTCATTTTTCCAATTTTCCATTTTTCCAGATTTTTGAAGTACGTTTTTTTGGTGCTTTTTCAGTTTGTTTTTGTTTTTATTTTTTCATTTTTCATAAACAATATTGATCCTAAATAATATGTATGTTGTGGTGGCCCACTATTGTGTCCACCTGTTTTCTGAAGATACATGATTTGAAGGTTATGGCCCATCAGCAACAAGTAAATAGGATGCCTTATTCAAACCCAATACAAAAACAGCAGCCAAACAATTGTTCAAGGGAATAGTCCATGAGCAACCCTGATCCTCAATAGCATGTTTGTTGTGGGAGTCCACTATTTTGTCCAGCTGTTGCCCGAGGTGAAAATTTTCAAACATTCCTTTTATCCTTTTCCTTTGCTAAAGTTTTTCCTTTACTTTCTTAATTTCGTTTCTCACAAATGCCCAATTTCCCAAAATATATGATGCCTTATAACCCAATAAAAAAAAAAACAGCAGCCAAACAACTTTTCAAAGGAGTAGTCCATGAGCAACCCTGATCCACAATAGTATGTTTGTTGTGGTGGTCCACTATTGTGTCAAACTTTGTTTTGAAGTCAAAACTTTCCAAAATCATTGTCTCCTTTCCTTTCCCTTTCCTTTGCTAATACTTTCTCTTTTAAATCACTTTCTTAGCTCCATCCTTGTGGAATTCTCAAAATGCCTTATTGAAACACCATGAAGAAACAGCACCCAAACAATTTTTCAAAGTCCACCACGTGCAACACATGCAAGCTGATGTTCTTTTTTTGGCATTGCCTCTGGATCTGGTAGCTAGTGCCGAAGCAAACTTTAAAAATTCTGAGACTATCCCAGAACGAAGGTGAAAAGCACTGAGCCTTGCTCAGCACAAAGCTGCAAATCACTCAGTCTCAGTAGGGCTTCAGGCAGGTGCAGCTGATGTTGATGAGGTAGGTGCAGCTGAGCTGGAAGAAATAGGTGCTGCAGTTGGGGTGAACTTCACTGAGTTCTTGTCCAGCTGCTCCTGAGGAGTAATGTAGGCAACTGAGGTGATGTCCTTGAGCTTAGAGAGCTTTGCCTCAGCCTTTTTCTTTTGCTCAGCAATGCTGGTCTTCTGAGATTGGAGCCCACCCATCTGAGCTTGGCAGCATCTCCAACCTGAGCTTCCAGCTCTTCCACCCACTCTCAAGCCAAACTGAAGGCTACTCTCCTCTGAGAAGCCTGATTTCTTGCTCCATGTAGTGGAGCACATAGCAGCCACAGGCATTGCTACCCACAGGCTGCCTAGCAGAGTTGCTGAGTAGTGGAACGGTGAACTGAGTGTCAAGCAAGTTCCCCATGAGGATGTGATTCCTCATGCTCTTTGCTGAGGGAGCCTCCTCCAAGTGATGGGTTGCCCAGGCCCTTCCCTCTGAGCTGCCAGCAAGGTCCAGTGAAAATGAGAATGCACTGGAACCAAAAGAAGCTTGGTGCTCTCAAACCAGCTTTGCTTGGGGCCTTGCTTCAAGCCCTCCAGCTGCTCAGGATGGCCTTCAGTATCAGGGATTGGCGCACACACGCAAAGCATAAACCACACCGGAAACGCTAAGCCAAAGCACACTTCACTCAAACAAATTTCACATGGCCCCGCATGGCCGCCAAGCAGCAACAGCTGCTGCGCAGCTTTTATGAAAGCTTTGAAGCGAAGCGGCCCAACACCTCCAGCAATATGTTTTGGAAACTAGCACTCCTACTTCCACAGCACTTGGCTCCAGGACACGCTAGAACTGTAAGGGTTTTCCTTCGACCCTTTTTCCACATATTTCATTCAATGCTGGCACCTGCTCATGCAGCTGCAGTTTTTGGAACAAACCGACAAACAACTTCAGGTTTCAACAAAATCACGTTTCTAGGCAAACATATGATTTTCATGCACGACGAGAAGTTGGCTATGTGTTCTGGCCTCTCATGTAGCTTGCTAGCGTCCCATCGCAAAGCTCCATGCGGATGGCTTGCGGGTCTATCTTTTCCATGCTAGGAAACACTTTGACCACAAAAGGGGACTGGCATCGCAAGAGCAAACAAGCTTCGCGTTCCATCGCGGCTGGATGGCCACAGGGACGCTTTACCTCAAACAAGCTCTTAGGTGACATTTGCCTTTGGACAGTGCAACGAGGTACGACGACGACGACGACCACCACCACCACCACCACCACCACCACTACCCCCTCCCACTACCCAACCCACTACCCACTACCCACTACCCACTACCCACTACCCACTACCCACTACCCACTACCCACTACCCACTACCCACTACCCACTACCCACTACCCACTGCCTACTGCCTACTGCCTGCTGCCTGCTGCCTGCTGCCTGCTGCCTGCTGCCTGCTACCTCCTACCTCCTACCTCCTACCTACTACTACTACTACCACCACCACCACCACCACCACCACCACCACCACCACTACTACTACTACTACCACTACTACTACCACTACCACTACCACTACCACTACCACTACCACTACCTACTACTACTACTACTACTACTACTACTACGACTACTACGACTACTACGACTAACACTACCTACTACCACTACCACTACCACTACTACCTACTACTACCTACTACCTACTACCTACTACCTACTACCTACTACCTACTACCTACTACCTACTACTACTACTACTACTACTACTTTTACTACTACTACTACTACTACTACTACTACTACTACTACTACTACTACTGTACTACTACTACTACGACGACGACGACGACGTCGACGACGACGACGAAGACTACTACTACTACTACGACGACGACTACGACTACTACGACTACTACGACTACTACGACTACTACGATTACTACGACTACTACGACTACTACGACTACTACGACTACTACGACTACTACGACTACTACGACTACTACGACTACTACGACTACTACGACTACTACGACTACCTACTACCTACTACCTTTTACCTTCTACCTTCTACCTACTACCTACTACATACTACCTACTACCTACTACCTTCTACCTATTACCTGCTACCTATACTACCTACTACCTACTACCACCACCACCACCAGGACTACTACTACGACGACGACCACCACCACCACCACCACCACCACTACCACTACTTACTACCCACTACCCACTACCCACTACCTACTACCTAATACCTAATACCTAATACCTACTACCTACTACCTACTACCTACTACCTACTAACTACTAACTCCTAACTCCTAACTACTGACTCCGAACTCCTGACTCCTTTCTCCTTACTCCTTACTCCTTACTCCTTACTCCTTACTCCTTACTCCTTACTCCTTACTCCTTCCTCCTTTCTCCTTACTCCTTACTCCTTACTCCTTACTCCTTACTCCTTACTTCTTACTCCTTACTCCTTACTACTTACTACTTTCTACTTACTACTTACTGCTTGCTACTTAAAACTTACTACTTACAACTTACTACATACTACTTACTACTTACTACCAACTACTTACTACTTACTACTTGGTTCCCGACCCACAGAGGGCCATATGGTTTTAGGAGTGTTTCATCAACAAAAATGTCGTTTTCGCTACAGCGAAACGTCATTTTTTATCATGTTGACGTGAAAAATAGGGTTTTGAAAATCTCCAAAACTACTTCGTTTTTTGACATAAGTTCGTGTTTTTTTGGGATGCAGCACTTTTTTCCTTCTTCTCAGAAGCTCTTCATTGCTTTGATGGCCTTGCAAAGTTCTTCGAGAAACCGGTGAGGTGTCAATGGTCCCAAAGATTTTCGCCGACAGCAACCCAAGACAAACTTTTCCAATTCAGGGTGCTCTTTTGTGTTGACTCCATGATACAACCGTTTTTTGTCTGGTCCATTCTTTGTTTTGATGAGACACTTTGCCATGTTTGATTTTCAAACTTTTTGGCATGTGACTCCAAAGCACGGTTTCCATCTGCAAAAACAATGGTGGGCGGTCGTGCGCTCTTGGGTTTTTTTTCCAAGAGGCTTGCAGCTTTGATCTCAGACAGACTCTCAGTAGGCGGTCGGCTACCAATCATATAGCTACCAATCATAGTTACCCACCCCACCCCACCCAACCCCACCCCAAGATAACCATAACGTAGCATGACGTGTGTGTGCAAGTGCAAGAGATCACCGTAGCGTAGCATGACGTGTGTGTGCGCACGTGCAAGAGAAGATAGCCATAACGTAGCATGACGTGTGTGTGCAAGTTGACATGAACGTCATTGCCCCACCCCACCCCACCCAACCCCACCCCAAGATAACCATAACGTAGCATGCCGCGTGTGCAAGTGCAAGAGATCACCGTAGCGTAGCATGACGTGTGTGTGCAAGTGCAAGAGAAGATCACCATAACGTAGCATGACGTGTGTGTGTGTGCAAGCGCAAGAGAAGATAACCACAACGTAGCATGACGTGTGTGTGTGTGTGCGCAAGTTGACATGAACGTCATTGACCCACCCCACCCCACTCAACCCCACCCCAAGATAACCATAACCATAACGTAGCATGACGTCTGTGTGCTAGTTGACATGAAAGACCATCAAAAAACGAAAAATTGCCAAAAAATGCTGAAAACACCGCGGCCTTCTATGGGTCGGGCTCCAACCTACTACGACTACTACGACTACTACGACTACTACGACTACTACGACTACTACGACTACTACGACTACTACGACTACTACGACTACTACGACTACTATACGACTACTATACGACTACTATACGACTACTACGATTACTACCACTACTACGACTACTACGACTACTACGACTACTACGACTACTACGACTACTACGACTACTACGACTACTACGACTACTACGACTACCTACTACCTTCTACCTTCTACCTACTACCTACTACATGCTACCTGCTACCTACTACCTACTACCTTCTACCTACTACCTACTACCTACTACCTACTACCACCACCACCACCAGGACTACTACTACTACGACGACGACGACCACCACCACCACCACCACTACCACTACTTACTACCCACTACCCACTACCCACTACCCACTACCTACTACCTACTACCTAATACCTACTACCTACTACCTACTACCTATTACCTACTAACTCCTAACTCCTAACTACTGACTCCGAACTCCTTACTCCTTACTCCTTTCTCCTTACTCCTTACTCCTTACTCCTTACTCCTTACTCCTTACTCCTTACTCCTTACTTCTTACTCCTTACTCCTTACTACTTACTACTTACTACTTACTATTTACTACTTACAACTTACTACTTACAACTTACTACTTACTACTAACTACCAACTACTTACTACTTACTACTTACTACCTTCTACTTACTACCTACTACCTACTACCTACTACCTACTACCTACTTACTACTTACTACTAACTACTTACTACTAACTACTTACTACTAACTACTTACTACGTACTACTTACTACCTACTACTTACTATCTACTACCTACTACCTACTACCTACTACCTACTACTCACTACCTACTAATTAATACTTACTACTTACTACTTACTACTTACTACTTACTACCTACTACCTACTACTTACTACTTACTACCTACTACCTACTACCTACTGCCTACTACCTACTACCTACTACTTACTACCTACTACTTACTACCTACTACCTACTACCTACTACTTACTACATACTACTTACTACTTACTACTTACTACTTACTACTTACTACTGACTACTGACTACTGACTACTTACTACTGGCTACTAACTACTTACTACTTACTACTTACTACTACCTACTACTACTACTACTACTACTACTACTACTACTACTACTACTACTACTACTCCTGCTACGACTACTACTACTACTACTACTACTGCTTCTACTACTACTACTACTAGTACTACTACTACTACCACTACTACTACTACTACTACTACTACCACTACCACTACCACTACCACTACCACTACCACTACCACTACCACTACCACTACTACTCCTACTCCTACTCCTACTCCTACTCCTACTCTTACTGCTACTCCTACTGCTACTGCTACTGCTACTGCTACTGCTACTCCTACTCCTACTCCTACTCCTACTACTACTACTACTGCTGCTGCTGCTGCTGCTGCTACTGCTACTGCTACTGCTACTGCTACCTGCTACTGCTCTTGGGCAGGCTGGGCGTGCTGAGAAGGATAGATAGACTCTGAGGGCCAACCCTCCACAGCATCCTCAAGAGCTGTCCTGAAAATCCTAACCCATTGCTCCTGAGCGATCCTTGGGTGATAGCTCAGGTTTTTGCGGATCTCAGCAAAATCATTCCTGACACTGAGCATCACCCAAGCAGGCACAGCACCCTGATCCTGAGGATGCTCCTCAGCAGGCTTACTGAAATCAGGCTGCCGATCCGGCTGAATCAACTGCTGGGTGTAGTACTTCTGCAGCAGGTCCACAAACTATTCCTGAGAGCACTTGGGTTTCATCTTGAGCTCAGCCAAGTCATCTCTCAGAATCACCACCTTCATGGAGTTGCTTAAAGAACCACCCAAAAATAAAACACATTGCATCAAGAATTCCCCGAGTAATTAACCAATTAATTAGTTACTTAATTAATTTGTGGGTTTCCCATTGGGAAACAAAGAAAAACAAATCCAAGCCTTAGCATCCAGACAGATTTGCTCAACAGACAGTACCTTGCTGAGGTGGGAAACCCATTCCACCTGATGATGCTTGAGCTGACACCTGAGGTTGGCCATCTCAGTGTTGAACTGCTCCATGGCTGAGGTGTTGGATGCTAAGAAGCTGGCTAGAGTGGGACCTGATGTGAGATGAAAGTCAATTGGAATCAATTGAAATTAATTGAAAATAAATAATTGAAATCAATTGAAAGTAAATTGAAATCAGCTGGGATCTATTGAAACTAAATTGAAATCAATTAAAAACCTATTGAAAATCAACTGAAAATATATTGAAACCAATTGAAAGTCAATTGAAAGTAATTTGAAAATAAATTGCAATCAATTGGAAGTAAATTGAAAACGATTGGAAGTAAATTGAAATCAAGTGAAAATCAATTGAAATCAATTGAAAATCAATTGAAAATAAATTGAAATCAATTGAAAATCAGTTGAAAGTAAATTGAAAAAATAAAAAACAATTGAAATCAATTGAAAGTAAATTGAAATCAATTGAAAATCAATTGAAATCAGTTGAAATCAATTGAAAGTCAATTGAAATCAATTGAAATCAATTGAAAATTAATTGAAATCAATTGATCACATTTTATTCAGGACCCGGCACTTAAAATCAACATTAAAGTGGATCCAAAAATTGTTTGGGAGGGCCCTACACTAATAAGCATCCAACATTACTGGGAAAAGGTCCGTATCGCGGGCCTTCTTTGAGCCTCACCGTGACGAAACCTTCAGGATCAACTCCTGCGGCATCGTGACCTTGCCTGGTGAAATGGGGTTTGGAAGTGTTTGGACCCATACCCCTATTAACCAACTCAAATTGATGTTTCAAAAGGCCTATTTCTCCCTACTTCCGATGTTTTTTCATCCTACCATTGGTCGCGAATTGAAAAAATCACCAGCCACTCAGTGAAGCTGTGTCCTGACATCACTTGCGCCGATGCACCAGTGAGCTCGGGATGCCTGGAATGCCGAGGGAATAGGCTTACTGGTGCTAAACGCAAGGAATGGAGGGATGGGATGATCGTTAATATGGCAGTTATGGATTGGATCATTCCCCCATTCACTACGTTTGGCACTGGTTTTATGTGTTTTTTTTCGGATGTTTCACGGATGATCATCAGCTGCCAAAAACCAAGACAAAAGAAATGGGTGGTATTCCGAAGACCATCCCCAGATGGATGCCTTCGCATGGGCCGCAGCGATACACGATCGCCAGGAATAGGTACCCGGTACGTTTCCGCGTCCTGTTGCACAGGGTTCTTTTCGACACGATGGCATCATTCAGATTGCCTGGGAATGAAGGATTTTTCACATGCAACAAACTCAAGTCAAATGCTCAAATGCAAACAACCTGCAAGTGCTAAAAAAATGGCTTACAATGGCTTACAATATTTTGTCTACTCAGCGGTCGACAGATCTCTAAAGTGGATTGAATCCTCCACCGGTCGAGGCCACTTTGGCGGTTTTTGCATCCGACCTGGTCGGATCCAGAGAGGGTTTCCAACCATCTCTGAGTGCGTCACCAGAAAGTCGATGAAAATTTGGTTTTCGAGAGCGGTCCTGTTTTTTTGAGTTTGTTCTCTGAAACCAGTTGTCATCGTTGTGGCTTGCCATTTTTGCCAAACAAGTTCCGCAATTCATGTCCCATCTGAAAAGTTGAAATAGTTCGCATGTTTTGTTTCCCACCCAGGGGTTGCTGTTCACCAAACATGTCAAGAACCCAGTCCTCTGAGTCCTCTGAGTCCTCGTGCTGGCAAGGTAATCCACCTCCTTCACTACGTCTTCCCGAAGCATCATCATGTCCTAAGGGACTTCGGTCACTTCACCGAAACCCAACGCTCAGTGCTCAGAGGAATCATCAAATCACAATGTTCCCAACACATTTGGCTGAGCATATGTCCAATGAAGACTGCACCACCAATCAGGCATTCTTTCCTGTGGGTTCTGCTGTCGAACACACTCCTGGATTGGCCAATTCAGAAGGTCTTTACAGTATCTGATGGCCTACAACTGTACAGCCTAGCTACCACGGAGCTCTTTAATGGCTCTCAAAACCAAACGGACTGTGCTCGCAAAAGAAGAAGCTGCTATCTGACCAGCACTCTACCCATCAACAAGCACAACTCTTGTGCTCCGAACGAAGTTCAGCAACCAACTCCCTCACTTCGTCGGCAGAAATTGAGGCCGGACCTTTCTCATCTGCATAGGCAATGCTGGACCCATCAGTGCAGGAGCTCACCACTGAACAAGCCAGTGGCTTGCAAGTTGCACTGCATGCAGAGGATGCGTCTGGTCCGTTCTCATTTCCACATGCATCTTCACTCACCAAGTTGAAGAAAGCAGTCTCACAAGCAGTTGCAGCTGGTTCTTGAGTCCTGTCTGCCACGTTGCCCCTCAAGGACACTGGATCCTTCTTGGCGCTCTTTCTCATGGTCTGAAAGGCCTTGGTCAGATTCGAGCGCTTGGCTGCGCTGCAGGGGCAGTTGGTGTGTTCAGACTCAAGTTCCTTGACAATGCTCCGCACTTCATCCGCAGAAATTGAGGCTGGACCTTTCTCATCTGCATAAGCAATGCTGGACCCATCAGTGCAGGAGCTCACCACTGAACAAGCCAGTGGCTTGCAAGTTGCACTGCATGCAGAGGATGCGTCTGGTCCGTTCTCATTTCCACATGCATCTTCACTCACCAAGTTGAAGAAAGCAGTCTCACAAGCAGTTGCAGCTGGTTCTTGAGTCCTGTCTGCCACGTTGCCCCTCAAGGACACTGGATCCTTCTTGGCGCTCTTTCTCATGGTCTGAAAGGCCTTGGTCAGATTCGAGCGCTTGGCTGCGCTGCAGGGGCAGTTGGTGTGTTCAGACTCAAGTTCCTTGACAATGCTCCGCACTTCATCCGCAGAAATTGAGGCTGGACCTTTCTCATCTGCATAAGCAATGCTGGACCCATCAGTGCAGGAGCTCACCACTGAACAAGCCAGTGGCTTGCAAGTTGCACTGCATGCAGAGGATGCGTCTGGTCCGTTCTCATTTCCACATGCATCTTCACTCACCAAGTTGAAGAAAGCAGTCTCACAAGCAGTTGCAGCTGGTTCTTGAGTCCTGTCTGCCACGTTGCCCCTCAAGGACACTGGATCCTTCTTGGCGCTCTTTCTCATGGTCTGAAAGGCCTTGGTCAGATTCGAGCCTTGGCTGCGCTGCAGGGGCAGTTGGTGTGTTCAGACTCAAGTTCCTTGACAATGCTCCGCACTTCATCCGCAGAAATTGAGGCTGGACCTTTCTCATCTGCATAAGCAATGCTGGACCCATCAGTGCAGGAGCTCACCACTGAACAAGCCAGTGGCTTGCAAGTTGCACTGCATGCAGAGGATGCGTCTGGTCCGTTCTCATTTCCACATGCATCTTCACTCACCAAGTTGAAGAAAGCAGTCTCACAGGCTGTAGGATCAGCCTTGAATGTGGCACAAAGCCCCAAAAGTACTGTCGATCGAAGAAAGGAAGCGAGCATGTCAGTGCTGAGTCAGATTCAATGCAGCAAGAATTACAGACTTCCGCAGTCCAGTTTTTGAGCCAATACCTTGCAAACAAATGGTCACTAAAAGCGGCATTTTGCCACAGCAAAGCAATGGAAGACTTCTACCGTCTCAGTGTTGGCAGGACAATGAGAAAGAAACACATGACAAACACGTCACTACTTTGCAACCACAAGTGACCACATCTCCACATTTGGAAAATGGACCATGGAATACTTCCACAGATTCCACAGAAACTGAGCCTCGCACATTCATAGGGTTTCGTCCACGCGGCTGCATGGTGGATGTTGAATGGCAAGCGGACAAACCATCCAGTTGTTTAACCCATCGCGGGGCGTGCTGCAATTCATTCATTTTGCTGGTGAGTGCTGCAGATGGGGACTGTTGTAAAATGGCCTTAATAGGCCTTTTTTTGCTTAGTGTTCCGTTCATCTCTGCAATTTGCACGCGCATCTCTGCAAAGAACTAAACAGAAGTGGCTGGAAGTTCGGGGAATGTGCAGGCAACAAATGAGCAGCTTCCAAAATCCAGATGGCTAGTGGTGGGATACTATTTTAATCCATAATTTATCCATGTCCACCCATGTCCATCATTTCCATCATGATAAATCCATAATTCATCCTGCCCCAACGGTGAATTTCATGATAAAAATTTGGAGCTGCAGCTGAGCCATCCTGCCTTTCCCGTCTCGCAGACCCTCAGATGCCACAGGTGAAACACAACATGCCCACCATCTGTGCATCTGTGGATTAATTAGATTCATACCCCATGGCTCTATATTATATATATATATATGGTGCCTATATAAGTTATATAAGTTATATGTATATATACCATATATATATATATATATTATATATATCCACATCCCAACTAGTCATCTAGTCCAACTCTAAGAAGCTCCACCAGCGTTCAAAGCGAAGCCTGGGCCCACTGGGACACCAGGCCAGGTCGAGAGCTGGACAGCTTGATCTGAGTGGCCGAGGTATGCCAAGGTTCAACAAACAGATATGATAACCTTGAATAAATGTTTATAAATGTTTAATAATATATAAAACTTTTGTGAATATTTTTTCTAAGATAAAATTATGTTCTAATAAAAAATAATGTTCACTTTTCTGTGTTCAATGAACTAAATAGTAGATAATATCAATAATAGTATCAATAATTAATAGTAGAACATCAACTACTGTAGTTGATATATTCGATAATAGTAAAGACAAAATATCAAATGTTGCATTTGAATATCAAATGTTGATAATACATCAATAGTTAAAAAGATACAAATAACAGTAGAATATCACATGTTAATTTGGTAAAAAGAATGCATCACAGTTTTAAAACTACAATAAACTATAAATCATCTATAAAGGCTGGAAAATGATCTACAAGGAGCCCCTTAGCTCCCAGCTATAAATCAAATATCAGATGTTGATTTTACATCTCCATTGTCTCCATTAATCGCACCTCCGAGAGTCGCTTCAAGCGCAACTGCTCCTGCGCAGGGAACCAAAACTGGCTGCTGTTCACCGGGTGTTACCTGTCTTGACATTTTTAGATTTATAGAATTTCATATGTCTCACAGGATTTCATAGAAAATCATAGGATTTCATTGAAGTTCATAGGAAATCATAGGAATTCATAGAAATTCATAGGATTTCATAGAAGTTCATAAGAATTCATAGGAATTCATAGAAATTCATAGGATTTCATAGGATTTCATAAGTTTCATACTGCAAACTTCCAAACCCCATCATGAAACCACCATATCACCAGAAATGGGTGGTATTCTAACCATCACCGACCATGGCACAACGACCATCCCACAGCACAACACGCCACGCCAGCGTTTTGTCCAACATCGAGCTCCTTGGTTCACCCGGCATGGAAAAACTCGTCCTTTTTCACCCAACTGCAGCCATCCCAATCCACAAAAGTCATGCAAAATCCTGTGCCCAAACACTTCGAACAACTTACCATCTGGTTATGACTAACATAGCCATGGTATAGATGGCCCATAGAAATAGATGGTTTACCGTTCTTAAAAATGGGTGGATTTTCCATGGCCATGTTAAATAACCAGATGGTAACTGTAAACAAACTAAAGGGGGAAACCACCGGAGAAACGAGTCGCACCTGTTTCACACTCTGACAACTCATGAGCCTGAGTGGCCCGGTAAATGTCACAACCTGCAAGTCCAAAGTCTGGCTTTACATTCACACTGGTTGTGTTTTACGTTGGACTTGCAGGGGATGAAAAAGGCAGCTTGATGGTGCGCGTGTTGGCCCACCAGCTACGCACATCTGGGATGATCTTCGTGAGGATGTCTGCGAGCTGCATTCCTGTAGGGAGCCAACGCAATGTCCGGGCTCCATGAATGATGCCGCCCCAGTAGGCCGCCTCTTCGCCAACCATCATCCTCAGGGCCGTGAGGTCCACTACCAATCTCTTCTCACTTGGTGCTCTTGGTCCTCCCACACGATGGACGTTGTCGTACACGGACTTGCAGTCAGTCAAACTGACTATGGGAAAAAGGGCCCTTGCATTGGCCTCGCGAAGTCCGCCAGGTTGAGCCGACAAGGCTCCCGCAATGAAAGAGCGGAAGCATAAGGCCTCTTCCCAACCTTCCAATCCTGCCATGACTTCTGCCGCAAAAGTGCTACGGCAAACACGTGGGCACCCGTGTGACTTCCATCCTACCACGGTGCCTGGCACTTCTTGGCCTGACAAAGCAGCGCGGCTCGTCATGAGCAGCAGATGCCCAAGTTGGGAGTACACCCCATGTCCAGCAGCCGCTTCATAGTCCTCAGGAAGCTCGTGGTTGGGATCCAGCGTAGCGTTAGCCCAAGCTGCGTCATGATATACCAGCAAGAGTAGGTCATCCAATCCATCGGACACCTTAGTGAACTGAAGAGGTTCACCCTTCCCAGCCTGTGCCATCTTGACCAGCTTGTTCGTGTTCTTCACATCTTGGAATGTGGGGTCACGCTGTCGTCTTTGAGAAAGGGAGACTCCAGCCTGGAGATCTGGTCTGGTTTGTGATGCCAGCCAGGAAAGGGCGCCAATAGTGCTCATGTTATCCTGCTTGGTGACCTGGTCGGCAATCTCCTCTGTCTCCACGTTCTTTGGAATCTCCACGGCCTCCAAGCGAGTGTTGACATAGTCAGTCTGGTAGAGCTCGATGACCTGGTCCACCTGCTTGATGGTAGCGCCCGTGTAGTCGAAGTTACCAGATTCCCACTCTGCGATGGGGAACAATCCTGAAAGTTCCACCTGCAGTTGTCCCATCTCCGAAGGAGGGGCAGCGATGAGCAGGTCGTCGACATGAGTGATCAGACCTCCTCGTAATTGACCGCGTTGATCTCGTAGGGGAAAGAAACATGGGTCAAGGTCGTGATGACTCAAAGTGAGGGTGTCGTCACCAACCTTGATCTTCAGCTCCTTGAGTTCTTTGGCTAATTTGTCCCACCAAAGTCTGGGTGAGTTGGAAAGACCAAAGACCCCCTTCACGATCTCGATGAGGGAGCCTGGTTCCACTCCCGGTAAGCCACGGCGTGGGGGCTCAAAGTAGAGCCCACGTTTGGACTCAATCCCGTTGAGGAAGGCGGCCTCCACGTCGCCAGCTGCTAGCTGCCATCCAAACTGTGCCGCCAGGAAGAGCAAGGTGAGCAAAGACATTCTTGAAGCAGTAGGAGCCTCGGTGTTGACCTCGCCCTTCTGCAGATCAGGATCTTGATGACCCCCAATGCACAGCCTCGCCTTAGCCTTTGGAGGTAGTGAAGCATCTTCACGTCATTTCGCGGCGTGCTTGTCCCGGTAGGCGAACCTCGCCCGGAGGACACGTTCTTTGGGCACCTTCCTCCTCAAAAGCGCTGCATCTTCAGGTGGGTGCACTCGTACAGCTTCGTAGTGAAGGTGCTCGGTCCATTGCTTCTTCTCCGCGTTGACATAACAGGCCCTCTCTTCCTCAGGGATGTCTTCCCATCGGATTTCCTTATCATGCTGCTTGATGGTTGAACAAGGCACCCTCTTTTCCACCATCAGTGCCTGTGCTGCCGGTCTGGAAGATGTTGCTTGCTCAACTTCCTGATCCAACATGTCCTCGATGTCATCATCGGGTACTGGTGGAAGAGAACGGCCACGATGAGCTTGAGTGTCTCCTCCTTCAGGGACCGGTCGTTTATGCATTCGCACCACCCCTTTAGTCCTCAGCCTTCGCTCTGGCACCGCCTCATAGTTGATCTCTCTCTTCGGTCTCACTTCATCCATCGCATCAGCGAAGGCTTCATCGTCGTCGCTGTTGTCCAGGCGGTGTGCCAACCTCATCAAGTCGTCCTTCACCACCTTGGTCTGAAAGGCCATGCCAAGCTCCTCAGATTCTGCAGGGCGAAGGTGTTCTGCAGCACATAGAACACAACGACCACCTCGTGAGACCCAGTAGGAGCTACCCTCTTTACCGACCACTACACCAGGGCCGATCCACTCACCGACGTTTTGGCGCTTACGTGCCACACCACCTGTCGTCTTGTTGACCCTGAAGATGTAGACGTAGTCTCCTTGTTCATAGATTTCCTGATCGGTACGTGGTCGGCCAAGTAGGGCTCGTTTGAGAGCATCATCAGCCTGGGTCTGCATGAAAGCTTCTCGGGCTGCCAGACGAATTGCTTGCCTCCTTCTCCAGACTTCATCAGGTGACCTCAATTCCTCCTTGGTGTAGAGGTTGGCGTCCTCGTCCAGCATGGCATCTCCTAGACGAGGTTCTGCTCCAAAAAGCCATTGTGCAGGTGAATAGCCGTGTTTCCTCCTCAGGTTGTTCTTGGCTGCGGAAACCATGGCTAGGGTATACTCGATCTCATGTGGCAGTGGTTGACTGTGGGCAATAGTCCGGTCCCAAATGGCCCGGTACCACTGGCCTTGACGTTCAACTATTCCTTGTTGCCAATGTGCCTGTCCAGCAATGAAGCGCACCTGGATGCCCACCATCTCAAGACCGTCCACGAAGTCCTTAATGAAACCTCTCTCTTGGTCACATGTCACTTTCAAAGGTGGCCCGGCCCAAGTGAGCCAAGCGTCAGTGAAATCGGCCAACAAGTCAGCTGACTTGCGGCCTCTAATCTTCTTCACTACATGGTACCCCGTGGCGGTGTCCACGATGGACAAGACTTCAACCTTCTTCTTCTCGGCGTCCAGGAGGTTGAGCGTGTCGAGGCAGACCTCTTGGTTGAACTCCATGGGGCGAACCAATTTGGCTGGCCTCCTTGTTCCTGGTTTGCCTTTCCGATTGCAAGTGGTGCAGCGTAAGCCTTGGGCCGCTCTCACAGCAGCTTCACTCGCACCAGACAACTTGAGATGTCGGGCTAAGTCATGGTTAGCCGGGTGCCCAAGGTTCTGATGGACACGCCTCAGTGCTTTACCCAATGCTGCAGGCACGTTCTCGGGGAACTCGATGCCGGACATATTGTTGCCAGATGTTGCTGTCAAGTCACCCTCATTGTTGGCCACGTAGTTCTCCCACGTGGTCTTGGCAGCAGCGTGGTCTCCAGGTTGAAACCATACGCTTCTATCAGTATTCTTGTACCCCTCAATCACAGCCTTGCAGAAAGTGCGGGTGTACATCCCTGCAGCTTTGGTGTTTCGACCCTCAGTGGGAGTATGTTCATGGCCTCCATGACAAGTCCTGGTGAGCTCCTTCACCAAGTTGGGATTGGTGGCCACGACCTTGGTTGGTTTCCTGAGCCTACCGCCATCCGTGACGGCCCTCAGGTCATAACGGCACATGTCCAAATCGGCCGCGACCACATGTTCACACTCCATAAAGCTCTGCATAGATGGATCTGTCCACATGTCCGAGTACTTAGGGTGCTCGAACATCACCTCGTTGCCCATTGACACTTGGTGCCAAGCCGCCTCCACAGCGAAGTGCACCAACTTCCTTTGCTTCTGACGTTCTCGGCGTAGTTGCTGTTTTCGATGGGCATAGTTGTACCTCTGCCAAGTAGACCACTTGGTACAAGGCAAAGCGATCCACAAGAGCTTGGGCCTCTTATACTGAATGTCGTTGAAGACCGACTCCTGCTGGAGCGGGTCAAAGAGATCGTGGCCATAAAGGATGTCTCGAGGCTCCAAGACGTGATGGCCTTGTCGAGCAAACTCCATTGTAAGGTGAGCGGATCCAGCAAATAGCTCAAGGAGAGCAATCTCCTCCCTCTTGCCCTGAAGAGCATTGGGCCCCAGCACGGCCTTACAAAGATCTTTGGCTGGCTCCAGGATAGCATCGTTCAACTCTGCCACCACGGGAGTGGAAAGTGCAACCAACGTCGTTGTAAGGCAGAGCAATGTCCGATGGACCCAGCCCTTGACACGCTTCTTGGCCACCCTCTTCATCCTTTTTGAGGGCAGATTCCTCACCTCATCATAGTCCTCCGGGTAGGTCAACTTGATCCTGGGAAACCCGGTCTCCTTATCGGTGTCATAGTCGTCAAGGTCGATCACGTCAGGGTCCTCCTCGGCATCAGAGACGATGTTCTCCTCAGGGATGTAGAGCTCCGTGACGGATGTAGTCTCCTCAACGTTGTAGGGCTCGTCAAGGGCGTCGTACTCGGCAGTGATGTAGCAGCTCCTCCTCTTCATCTCGATGCGCATCTTGTGGAGCTGATCGACCTTGTCCCAGTATGCCTTCTTCTTCATCTTGGCCTTAGAGGCACCAGCTAGTACCCCTTGTCCTTCTTGTCCTCCTCCGCTTTGACGGCCTTCAGCACCTGAAGTCGAGACTCCATGTCCTTGATCTGATCCTCCGTGCTCATCTCGGGCTCGGACACCAGACTGAACCCCTCGGAATCCGACGCCAGAGGCCGTGTCCTCGATGTTCTCGCTGTCTTCATGTTGCTCTTCTCCATCTTGGGCTTGGCCTTGGGCCAGACGTGCCAAGTCTGGGCTGTGGTTGGGGTTCGTCTCCACCTCCTTCATCGCCCAGTTCAGGTAGCTCCAATTTACCTCCTTGTACATGAAGCCCTTGTAGCTCCCGAAGCACACCTTCTCCTCGCCGGTCGGTGGAGTGTTCTCCCGCAACAGCTTCATGAGCAACCCCCGTGAGGGACGCGGCGGCAAGAGGATGCCCTCCTGGCTGCACTTCTCCTTCAAGGCGTCCAGCGACATGTGTGAGATGCCGACCGCCTTGGAGGTGTGGTCCCCCTTCGTGTCCAGCGTCTCCAAGAGAGTCGCCCTCAGCTCTGGCACAGTCCACTCGTACCTCACTGGGATGTCCAGATCCTCCAGCTGTTGGATGAGCTCCGCACGAGTCATCTTCCATGGCGACTTGGGAGCGGTCCTGGACATCCGGAGCAGATCGAATTGTGGGGCAGCAGGTTTGCTCCGTCGTGCGTCGACGACGAAAACGGCTGCGGCCAATCCACAAGAAGTCAGCACGTGGTGAAGAATCATGTCGCCACCGGTGTTCAAGACAATGTGTGATGCCATTGCCATAGCATGGAACGCATGTCGTTTCCCTGAAATCATCTAATTCCTTCAAAAGGTTTGTCCTCAAAGTGTCATCCGATGTGTTCCAGCGTCCAGGGTCAAAACATGTGCGACGTGGTGTCACGTGTACCCTCACCATGTATTCATCATCTTCCACCCAAAAGTCTCGTACATGTGTTTGTTGGTTCCACCAATGTAGGAAAGTTTCACTCGGCAATGTGTCACGGGTGAGCATGTCAAAAATGTGTCCATGTACTTTGGGGTAAAAGAAGTGGACCCGCCCAACAGAAGCAGCACTCGCCATGTATGCTCGGGACGCAGCAGATGCCGTGTCGGGGATGTGCACTTCTGTCACACTCCAGTCGATGTTCTCCGGCCAGAGCGGGACCTTTGGTCCAAAATTCACAGCATCGACTCTGGGATGTCCAGAAGTCGTGAAATCAAGCTTGACATGCTAAAGGCTAAGCTTTGTGAAGTCCGCCACATTGATGTCCATCTTGTAGTTCATTCCAAGTGAGCCCAGCACGGGCCGGCTCAAGAGAAGCGGCACTTGTGCTGCCACCAGAGCTATCTTGATCAAAAACCAACGGCCTTGAATGGCCAGCCACCCGATGATCGCCTTCTTGGACGGGTAGAGCTTCGGCCCACCAAACTTGAAGGTCTCGTCCTGGTTGATGATGATGTAGGGGATGCCGTTGTCCTTCGCCAGCTCGATGTACTTCCTGCACCACATAGTTCCCGCCAGCGTGCGGCTGCACGCACAGTCCACGATGGTGTCCAACTGGGTGCCCTCCGCATAGAAGGCGACGTGGGTCACATGGGGAGCCACTGCAGCTCCCGTGCCCTTGTTCTTGGGGCACTCCGCATCCTTATGCCAATGGCCCTTCTTGCCACATGCCGAACAGAAAGATCGTGCCTTCGCTCGACTAAGAGCTTCCTCACGGCTCTTAGTCAAAGTAGTGCCACGAGCCTTCAGCACGTTGTTGTACTTCGCCTTGGCATTCTGAAAGGCCACAAATGCCTCGTGGGCTTCAGGGTCCTCATCGTCAGGGACGTAGGTCTCGTCAAAGTCCTCGGCATCCTCGAAGTCCTCCATGTCCTCAGGGATGTCGTCAAGCTCAGTCATGTAGGCCTGCTGGTTCTTCTTGTTGTCCTTGTTGTCACTTCTCCGCCCGGTCTCCCAAAGGCGCCGGTTCATGCGGTCCTGCACAACTGCAGCTTCTTGCAATCGCCCCAAGTCATACTGGTTGTTGACGGATGACAAGAGGCTCAACTCCGTTGCATTGTCCAACCTCAGCTTGTCGATGTACCACCATGAGCTGCAGACTCCCGGCAAAACACAGCCAACCTCTTTGAGCTTCGTAAGATGGCGATCGAACTCGCTGTTGTAGTCCCTGATGTCCTGGTTCGTGCCCCGCTTAAAGAGCTTGAAGAAGTCACTCATGTACCTGCCCGCCTTCACGACCTCCTTGTCCAGGTAGCGCTGGGTGATCCAGCCGATGAACTTCTCGACACCGTCGTTGGAGTCAAGCATCTTCACATCGATCTCCTCAGCATCATGCCATGCTTTACCAGTGAGGCCGTTGTACAAGACCAAGGCCCGCTTGTTGGGTTTGAGCCTGGTAACCCTCCGCCATGCCTCGATCTTCCTCAAGTAGCTGCGAGCACGAGTTCCATCACGGTCCTCTTCCCCAGAAAACTCTGGGGCCACGATCTTGTCGTTGCCACCTCCACGTTCATCAGGAACCTCATCCCTCTGACTCCCATGTTGGCTACTAGTCCATGGGTCTTTCCAAGGGTTCAACCAAGGGTCAGAAGACCTAGTGGTATACGACCTACGTACATACCCAGTTCCATGGCCATCTGAGTGTTCCCCATCAGGTGTCGGGGTGGTTTCCGTCGAAGGTGCCCTATTCCTAGCTGCCTCCCACCAACCCCCGGAGTTCCACAACCTCCAGTCCTCATCGGTCCATCTTGCCGTAGACCTCTGCTGAGTCTCTTCCCCAAGAGCAGCATCATCGTTGCCCCCACCGGACTCATCAGAGGCGGAGCCACCGTCGACCTCAGCAGCAGGCTCCGTGGGAGACGGCATGAGTCACCTCCGCAGCGTAGGCCGCCACAGCAACGGCTATGGCAGATCTTTGTCCAGGTTTGACAGCCGCCTGGAGCGGCTCCGCTACCAATGTAAACAAACTAAAGGGGGAAACCACCGGAGAAACGAGTCGCACCTGTTTCACACTCTGACAACTCATGAGCCTGAGTGGCCCGGTAAATGTCACAACCTGCAAGTCCAAAGTCTGGCTTTACATTCACAGTAACCTTTTCTCTGGATTCTTCTGCTGTTTATGGATCTTCATCCCTCTGAAAAGTGGTTTCAAAACATATTGAACCACCAGCGGATTTTATGTCGTCAACAACTGCTCAGGTCCAAACCAGCGCGGCCCGCGGCAGTTGCAGAATCTCCAAAGCCAGCTGTACATCCTCTTTGGTCAGTCCCAGCTCGCTCCTGGCGGCACCAATTCCAACATGGAGGTTTTGGGGGCACCCCAATAGCTGGATGGTTTATAATGGAAAATCCTATTTTTTTCAATTTTTCAATGGATGATTTGGGGGTCCCCCCCAATTTAGGAAACCTCCATACTCATGTCATGTCTGTGCTGTGTATCCTTCAACTGTCACTAAAACATACTAAAACAAGCAAGTTTGGCCATGGCCAACTATCGTATTCATATGTATTCATATATGAATTAGATGTCCAAATCATTGAAATTTGATCCAAAAATCGTTTTAATTTTCACCACTGTTCCTCCAATGCAGTCCTGCAATGGACAAAGTGAGGCGCCAACGCTCCAAAACCTGGAAAAATAAGCTGTGCCAGTCCTAGTGATGGACAGAGATTCAAATTTCACAGAGACAGGTTTGAAAGAGACAATCTTGGCAACAAATCAAAATCATCAAAGAAATGTGATAGAGATGGGTGTGTTAGACATAAGTTTGATAACGATTTGTGGTTGTTCATTCGATCTTCGATCTGACGGAGATGGTTTTGGGACGCATAAATTCACCTGCGGTGCGCCGATCGTCCAAGATCACGAAGTGGCTCACCGTAGGATGGTCCTGCGGTGAATGAGATTTCCATCGATTGTGATCCCCAATAGATACAGGGGACCCTCCAGTAAATTAACACAACTCGACCCTGCCAGTTGTGTTGGAAGACTAGTGAAACCACGAAATAAATAGGTCATTGATTTTCAGGGTCCAACTGTGAAATTACCAGGGGATAAACAAGATGAAGCCCACGAACCCGAATGCTCACACGTATGTTAATGGTACAGATGTCAAAACACATGGTTATGAAGTGACGCACACTACCTTTCTGCAATCGTTTATTTGAACAGTCTTGTGCATGTTTCCCTTGATACCAGTCTGCAGTGTGGAGTGGAAAGTGTAGAGTGTGGAGTGTAGAGTGTGGAGTGTGGAGTGTGGAGTGTAGAGTGTAGAGTGTGGAGTGAGGAGTGTAAAGTGCAAAGTGTGGAGTGTGGAGTGTGGAGTTTGTAAATTGTAGAGTGTGAAGTGTAGAGTGTAAAGTGTAGAGTGTAAAGTGTAGAGTGTGGAGTGTAGAGTGTAGAGTGTGGAGTGGAAAGTGTAGAGTGTGGTGTGTAGAGTGTGGAGTGTGGAGTGTAAAGTGTGGAGTGTAGAGTGTGGAGTGTGGAGTGTAAAGTGTAGAGTGTGGAGTGTAAAGTGTGGAGTGTAAAGTGTGGAGTGAGGAGTGTAAAGTAGAAAGCGTGGAGTGTAAAGTGTAAAGTGTGGAGTGTAGAGTGTAGCGTGTGGAGTGGAAAGTGTAGAGTGTGGAGTGTGGAGTCTAAAGTGTGGAGTGTAAAGTGTGGAGTGTAGAGTGTGGAGTGTGGAGTGTAAAGTGTAGAGTGTGGAGTGTAAAGTGTGGAGTGTGGAGTGTTGAGTGGAAAGTGTGAAATGTGGAGTGTAAAGTGTGGAGTGAGGAGTGTAAAGTGGAAAGCGTGGAGTGTAAAGTGTAAAGTGTAGAGTGTATAGTGTAGAGTGTAAAGTGTAGAGTGTGGGGTGTGGAGTCTAAAGTGTGGAGTAAAGTGTAGAGTGTGGAGTGTATAGTGTGGAGTGTAAAGTGTGGAGTGAGGAGTGTAAAGTGTGGAGTGTGGAGTGTTGAGTGGAAAGTGTGAAGTGTGGAGTGTAAAGTGTGGAGTGAGGAGTGTAAAGTGTGGAGTGTGGAGTGAGGAGTGTAAAGTCTAAAGTGTGGAGTGTGGAGTGTACAGTAAAGTGAGGAGTGTGGAGTGTAAAGTGTAGAGTGTAGAGTGTGGAGTGTAAAGTGTAGAGTGAGGAGTGAGGAGTGGAAAGTGTAGAGTGCAGTGTAAAGTGTGGAGTGTGGAGTGTAAAGTCTCAGGTGAGGAGTGGGGAGTGTAAAGTGCAAAGTGTAAAGTGTGGAGTGTAAAGTGTAGAGTGTGGAATCTAAAGTGTAAATTGTGGAGTGTGGAGTGTAAAGTGTAGAATGTGGAGTGCGGAGCTTCCCCCATAGACACGGCGACGCCACAGGAAAACGAGAGACTCGAGACGAGACACGTGGGTGCAAAAAAACGAGCATTTTGTGCGAGAAGTCCTTCAATTTTGATATTTTCAACACAGAATCAAACAGGTTGGAATGTCACAAAGTGCCACGCCTGCCACGCAAAACGACATGACAACCTGCTTGGACACATTCGAATAGGAGATGTTTTCCAGCTTCCCCCATAGACACAGCGACGCCACAGGAAAACCAGCGACTCGAGACAAGACACGTGGATGCAGAAAAACCAGCATTTCGTACGAGACTTCCTCCAATTTTGACATTTTCGACGCATTATCAAACAGGTTGGAATGTCACAAAGTGCCACGCCTGCCACGCAAAACGACATGACAACCTGCTTGGACACATTCGAATAGGAGAGGTTTTCCAGCTTCCCCCATAGACACGGCGACGCCACAGGAAAACCAGCGACTCGAGACAAGACACGTGGATGCAGAAAAACCAGCATTTCGTACGAGACTTCCTCCAATTTTCACAGTTGGCAACATGACAAAAGGACAAATTTTGCAGCTTCCCCCATAGACACGGCGAGGCTACAGGAAAACCAGAGACTCGAGACGAGACAGGTGGGAGCACCAAAACGACCATTTCGTGCGAGACTCCAATTTTCATACTTTGCAGCTCCAAAATCGACGTTTTCCTACGAGTTTTCCTTAGAACCTGAAAATTTGTAACCTCAAAATCGATGTTTCGTGCGAGGCTTCCGTCAATTTTCAGCACATGTGAGAAAATGCCACGCCTGCCACGGAATTTGCACCTTGTCACCACTTGACGCAGCCCTGCCAATGCGATTTACAAAAAAACACGCAAAAGGACACGTCTAAAGTGCTGCGCCTGCCACGAAAAATGACGATGGACACGTCCAAAGTGCTGCGCCTGCCACGAAAACTGCAACACATCTTCTGAAAACGTCGCAAAAGTATTGCGCCTGCCACGCGAAACGACTTTCGACACGTTGCAGAACACGTCTGAATGTCACGAAGTGCCACGCCTGCCACGCGAAACGAAGCAACCAGACGTCTGAAACCTCCAAAAAGGACCGCCTCTGCAAAACTTCCCATAGGCACGGCCATACGGAGTTCGTACGAACGGTTGCGGACGGTTGCGGACGGTTGCGGACGGTTGCGCTCGCGAACGCAACGTCGAGCGAACACACCCTCAACCCCCAGACCCCCAGAGTGAAACGGGAACCCTTGCTACGCATTCGGGAAAAAGGGTAAAGAAAAGACTGGGGATTATAACATATTATAACCATCCATGGGGATTGATGGGTATGGGGTGAAAAACCCTGGCAAGTTGTGACTTGCTACGAAACATAGATAAACATAGTGGATCCAAACTTCATTTTGCGGCTGGAAACAGTCCACTAGCTTGAAATGCCACCTCTGAAATCAAGAATTTGTCTTGCCTTCAACTGAGTCTTCAACATGCACCAACTCACACATTTCATCCCCTGGTCTATGATCATTACCCTCTGGTAAACTAACATAACTATGGAAAATCACCATTTTTAATGGGAAAATCCATTATAAATGGTCATTTTCAATAGCTACGTTAAATTACCAGAGGGTATATCCCCCGTGCCATGCCATCACTTGGTGCATCACTGGGTGGGCCGTCCTGCAGCCAGGAAGAAATTTCTTCGCTCCTGCTGGCGTACACCTGGAGAGGTTTTTTTTGAGCCGTAAATTTCGATGTGTCAAGTGGGCTTCCAATGGGATCATAAAATTCATCACTTTTTGTGATTTAGTGGAAATATCATGGGAATATTTATAGGCATATTTGGGAATATTCATCACTTTTAGGATTGAAAACGATTGAACCAAGGATTTTGGGGGGATCAAGATGGTTTTGACCAATACCCAGTCTCCAACTAATGTGCTTCGCGGTTGCTCTTTCTTCAGGGACTGGGCTTTTAGACCCATACCCACATTGACTTTCAAAAAAAAATACATCTAGCGCTTAAAACATCAGGAATGACAAGAAGCTTGAGTCACTTGTAACTTTTTCACTTAACCTTTAAACATGTCTCCATGTTTTCCATACATCTTCTAATAAAAGACATCCAGCCATAGCTCAAAAAACCTGAGCCCACCTTGTCATCAAAGCAGCTGCCCTCCAAATGGCCAAGTCCAGGGGTGGCACCCAGCACCTTCCAGCCCGGGATGCCATACCTGGCAACACCCAATGGGATCCCACTGGTACAACCCAACTGCACATGGATTCAACCCGGCCTCGTCAGCACGTACCTGATATATTCAGTGAAGTGACGCCTCAGCATCAAGGCATCGGTAGCCATGGGGTAAATCCACTAGGGAATGATGCTGAAGCACACCAAAGTTTCGATTGTATTCTCACAACCCACCGACATGCAATAAGCAAATAAGCAAATCAAAAATATGAAGACATGCGACGTGGCAAATGTCAATCATTCCAGGTTTGGAAGGAAATTGTCTCAAGATAGGGGGTATACTCCAAAAAATCCCATTGGAATCGCTTAAGCTTTTGGTGGTACGGTCTCCCCCAACGGAAAATCTTCAGCGGTGCACCAATACGTGGACAGCACAATGTGGGCATCACTCTGAAGGGCCAAGTCCTTCGTACCATCCACAGGCTGAAGGGGAGCCCCGGCTGATGGTGGCTAGATGCTGGGGAATGAATCTTAGATACCAAGGCTATTTTTATTGAAGATGGCCCAAGAAACCAAAGAAACCAATTTTTTTTCATTCCCCGAAAATAATTCTAGGCGCTTGCCTAGAATTAGTTGATGGTATTGAAACTATTGGCAAACAAATCATCAAAAATCATCAAGGCAATTCCATCCGTTTTCCTCGTTTTCCTTATTTGAAATATATTTTAAAATGACCATAAATTGGAAGGTCCATCCCAATCGACCCCAGATTTCTAGGCAAAAGTTGAAAGTTTCCGCTCCTTCAACAGCAGCATCAAATCCTCATCCAGGCGAATGTGCGTGGCCGCGCGGGTGCGATTTAACACACCATCGATGTCCAGGAAAATCACCTCGAATTCGGGAAATCTGTCGATGATCATTCCCAATAAAGATTCAAAGGGTATATTAATCCATAATCACCATAATCAAAACATACTATATTGATTATGAATCATCATGAATTTATAAATTTATTGATTATGAAAATCATGAAAATCAGTCCATTGATCATCTTCAAAATGGGAATGATCATCATCATTAATCACAGTCATTAATAGTCATTAATGATTTATATATTAGTCCCATATAAAGCTAAGATGACCATTAATATTAATGATTTATATAATCATCATATATCATTAATATTGATTCATTAATCATCATAATCCCAGTCTAAGCTCCAAAAAATGACCATTCCCACTCTGCATTTTTTTCTACGACACCTCACTGGATTGCAGAGGTAAATATGGATAGCATCCCGATGGGGAGATGAAGCCACAAATGTTGGGATAGCAAGCTACAAATATGAAGCTGGATTTACAATCAAACAACGATAGCATTCAGTGGGTTCGTTCTGCTGGTTGAGGGCAGTAATGTCATTGACTATAACAGTGCCCATTGTACCAGGGAGCTAAAGGCCCTCCCTAGAATAAGACATATCAAACATTTGAAGGGTTTTGGGCTCCCCTGGGAGCCCAAAACGATCTTTCCAGTGCCGTCTCCAACTTCTGCTGACCAGTTGCACGGCTCACGGCTTGTTCATCTTTGGAAGCTGCATTCAGGGCCTCCCTTACCAACGGCATTATGCGCGCATGGGCATTATGACGGCCCTCCGCACGTCGCAAAACACAGATGCAAACTCAATGTCCAGAAGGTGATCCCAAGGCACAACACAGCCATTTTTTACTATCACCTTTGGAAAAATGCTCAGAAAACTGAAGAAAACTCTTGTTCCAAAATGTTGATGCCTTGCAGCTTTTGCCAACCTATGAGGGTTTTGATGCGCGTGCAAAACCACGGGCAAGGTCCATTTTGGATTCAATATATCTGTGTCTCCTTTTTTTTCGTAGAACGGCAGCAAGTGAACCCAGAACTCCAATCTGGGAAAAAACGGCCAGGTTTCGTCAAAATATCCAGCACGTCATCAAGCAGTGCGATGCCTGTCGCCTATCAGGGCCTATCACTATCACTCACATTTTCAAAGGATAGGTGCACAGTGCAACCCACCTGCCGCTCCTGCTCCTGACAAAACCAAGGCCAGAAACGTGTTTGCGCAAATGGGTGTGATCGTGTTTGCCTGGTCATGATATGTAGAGTCAAACCCATGCATTCATTTGCCTGATTGTGTACAGTGCTCTTCAACCTTCATCTTGTGGTCCATTGATCCGTTCATCTCGTTTTGATGTATGTTCAATCGCGTGTGTCCACACATGAACGTGCATTGCTACGCATGAACTATATGTAGATAGATAGATACTATAGTATATTATAATGATCCATTATTGGAACCCCTATAATACATACATATATATATATATATATAGTGAGTTTTTGAACAGTGTCCAATTCCATTGCAATACGTTGGAATGTGGCAAAACTTCCGCGGGACCTCTGTGGGTCAACACGTTATGCTGGCCAGTCTATAGGGGTTCGCATAATGGATCATTATAATATACTATAGTATCTATCTATCTATCTACATATATTTTATATATATATATATGTGTGTATGACGTATATGTATATGAATCTCTCTTTATTTATTCATTACATGGCGGTAGTGTAACCATTGGTTCAACCACCGATGATCACTTTATCTACCGATGGAACGTATTTTGCTCTGAGGTGATCACTCGCCGGGCCACCACCGCATTTGGATGGACCATATTGGCGAAGTCTCGCCTGGCGACGCATTGGCAGATAGAGCATACAAAAAAATGAACCAAACACATGTACCCTCTGGTAAACGTTTACATAACTATGGAAAATCACCATTTTCAATGGGTAAATCCACTATAAATGGTCATTTTCAATAGCTATGTTAAATTATCAGAGGGTAGATGTGAACATATGTGAACACACGCAACAGAAAAAATACTTCTAGTGAAGACATGTATATGGCCAATTGCACTTTTGGCGACCCCGCTACTGAACTTTGGATCAACGCCCGCGAACTTTGCAAAACCATGTCAATGACCAAACAGGTTCCAGCCGACCCTGCTGCCATCGCATCCTGTCCAGTGACACTCGAATTGGCACTTTTGCAAGCACAACGTGACCCGGTCTGCCCATCAATTGCAGCCTTGCTGAAAATACATTTGGAATCAGTGCACTACACGCACAAGAATATGGTTCAACCTATCGGGTTCTGGGAGGTAACAGCGATTAATAATTAATCGTTGTTTGCCACTGCACCCTGTTCCCCCGTTTTGGCATGGATTTCTTGAGCAGCTGCTGCGGCGGAGCAGTGCGAATCAAATCTGCCCCAGTTTCTTGTTGATACTGAATCCTGGTTGGGACACGAGTCATGTGTCCCAATATGTTACATTGAGGTGTTCACGCGTAAAATTTGGTCCCGGTCTTCCAACCTAAACAAAGTTCTTATCACGGTTTGCATCTTAAATATGGTTTCAATCACTTGGATACTTTCTGTGAACGTGCTCAACGACCCTGATTTAAAGGGCCCACAGGGTCATGCCTTTTTTCTGACAAAAGCCAACATTTGAACTCACGCTGCTTCAGCGTTCGCGGCCCTTTGGACAAGATCCAGACCCTGTGCATTGTCATGATCTGAAAAAAATCAAAAGCTGCCTCGTCAACAAAAAAAAATCTGGGAGATCTACCAGAAAGGATTCAAAGTCCGGACACGACGCGCTGAACCATCATACTGGCTCAATCAAGTGAAAGGCCTTAGGAACTGGCTGTCGGTTTCATTCGATTTCGATGTTTTTTGGGTTCCCCTCGATGAGATTGACGACATTCCCCCAAAATTTGAATGTGGCCCGTCAACTTTACACACAATCATGTCGATGTTTCCATCGACGTGATTAAGAGCACCATCGATATTACAACAATCGTTGTTTACTGGGTAATCCACATTATATTACCACTGTGCGACGCCAATATTATTGTTTGGATGTTGCACATCTCACTTTATAGTAAGGGGTAATCCATCACAGATACCCTCAAAAATCCACATCGACTGTCATCAACTTCTATGTTTTTACGTGGCCAGGCGACTTTATACAACGTTGGTTTGTGATTTTATAACCAAAACATGTTGGTTTTCCACTTTACACAGCCCCATAATGTGGCCATTCCAGTTTGTACCAGGCTATTCTGTATAGACTCGGCCCCAAAGCATCTAGCGGCCTATACATGGGGGATGTTTTTTTTGAGGACATTGGCATTGTTGAAGCACAAATCCCATTCAACGTCGCAACATTCATACGAGTTTCATGCACTGGCAGTGGACAAAATGTCATTGTCATTCCTTGCTATATTTGCTATGCAAATTAGGTATGAAAACAACACAAGAATGGGTTCAATTGGTTCACTAGGCGTGTTTCAGAAAGCCATGATGCGAGTCCCATGAACATTTTTACAAGCAAATACAGACATCACATCAGTCTGGGTAAATTATAACAACTCACTCATTTGAAATAAGGATAAATAAGGATATATTGAGATAATTTAATAATTTCCCCTTACTAGCCATTGTTCCTATATTCAAAAAAGTGATCAGCCAACTGAACCTGACCTCATTCTCTTTCTGCTGCTGAGGTGCCCATGTTGTGAACCATGGCACCTCATCCACCTCATTGCAGACACTGCAAAAACCAACCGAAACGGGGCGGGATAAGGTGGGGATCTCTTTCCGTGATGCACAAAATGAGGAATGGTCCTAGAAACATGTGCCGACTCGGTCCTAGAAATATGTGCGGACTCGGACCACAGCCTCTTCAAATTCGCTCTCCTCATGCTCCTGCCAGGAAAAGCATCCAAGTCAAAACAGCAAAAATCAAGCAGCACAACTGCACTGACATGTCGTGGAACAAGTCTCCCAAAATTTACAAGCTGGCGAAGGGCTGTTCTTGGTTTGTTCCCAAGCCATTACAACATGATGATAAGTTGAAAACTCAACTATATCCACCAAGTGCGCGCTGAGCAGGGCAAGCTGGGTGAGTAGCAAGAGTATAAAGTTGTTCATGTCACTAATGTATAGCAGGCGTTCGCCCTCAAGGCTTCGAGGCGTAAGGTAACGAAAATTCTGGCGATGCAAGTTGGGTTGTTTTTTTCCAAGGCGCCCACATATTTCTTTGCAGTCTTTGCATCAGCATGGTTCCATTTCGTTCCAATTTCGCCAAGGTGTCATCAAAAAGGGAACCAATTGCAAACAGCAGGAAAAATGTGTAAAAAGAACATGTGAGAGCTATGAATATGAAGCATTCTTTGCACCCGTTGCCACCCGGCACCAAGCATGACGATGCTCAGGGAACCTCATCAGAAGCAGCACCGCAGAGATTTCCCATTGCAAAAAGAAAACACGGTGTTTGATACAGTGTTGCAAGCATACTGAACATTTGATGGTTCCCAACAGGATTCTCATACCATGTGGAACACAAACACCATTGTGTATATTTTGTGAGACTTGAAGTTTGGGATGTCCATTTTTATTCAAGACCCAAAACCGAGAAATCGTCCCATCTGCATCCAGATGTCATAGCGGAGCGAATGGTTTGCTTTGGAAAGTCAGACTCAAAGTTTGAGATTTTGAAAGTTGGCAGCACATACCCTGACATGCCAATGACACGCCAATGAGATGCCAACAGATTGACACCGTCTCCAAGGCAGGGTATCAAATCGCAACATCCACAGATCACGACGAAGCCGCGACCCAACCTTTTACTTCAGGCACTCAGCTAGCCCAAATCACTTGGAGCCACAGTTTGACCTGGCATATTCATGTCATTTTCGGGCCGTACCATCTTTAAAAAAAAATGTGTTTGAGAGAGAATATATACAAGTACAGAAAAGTAATTATTTACCTTTATGCTACCTCGCTACCTTCAAACTATGGCTAACAAACGTTAACAGAAAAAGAAACGGCGCCTCAGATATGGCCAGTGAAATACACACAAGTCGGCAAGAAGCTAACTAGTCACAGTCAAACCCCCATATGTTTACAACCCATCAACAGGCATATGGAGGTTTCCTGACATGGGGGTACCTCCAAAGCATCCATTTTTATAGGATTTTCCATTATAAACCCCCATATGTTCATTGACCCAGTCCGGATTGCCCTGCACTGGTCAGAGAATCCCCTTACCTGCAACAGCACCCGAGGGAAGTGAACCCAATGGAAGTCATTATTTCCTTGGAGTTTTGAAATTTTTCTGTCACGAGGCAATTTTCTTCCAAGACCCTAAGCTGGTGATAGACATAATGGGGATTAATAGATACAAATCCAAAAAAAAGAATCCAAAATTAAATCAAAGGTAGAAAGCAGAGGCTCCAAGCGCCCTTTTCCAGGTCCTCCATGCTTCCACAGCCGATCTTCGCTCTGGTCGCAAAGTCTTGGCACGCTTCTGGCTAACAAATGCCAGTTGTTTTTTCTCCGAATTCGTTTGTGTCTGCAAGACAAGATTGTACAACTGCATATCCTTCCAGCACTTCTCAGTGGCGCAGTTCCTCGCTTCCTTTTCGGTGCGACAAGGGTCTGACACGTAGTCTTGTTTGAAGCATCCTTTTTTGGACACGTTCAGGCGCACTGTGTGCCACAGAATGCCGTTCTCCTCAAACA